TACCGACAGGTAAATTCAGTCTCTCAATCAGATGCCTATCCGCTTCCTACCATTCAAGAAATTCTTGAGTCTTCGAGTGGTGCTGTCGTTTTTTCCACCTTGGACCTCAACAGTGGATATTGGCAGGTTCGACAGTCAAGATAAAGCTGCCTTCATATGCAGTCAGGGGCTTTTTCATTTTAAGGTAATGGCTTTTGGCCTCAAAAATGCACCAGTGACATTCCAGCGGTTGATGGAGAGAGTCCTGGGAGAGCTGCAGGGATAGAACTGTTTCATCTAATTGGACGATATAATGATCTACTCTCCATCAATGGAACAGCACTTCATCCAGGCTGTTTTGGATAAATTGAAAGAGGCCCACCTAACTGTTAATATGAAGAAAACACATTTCTTCCGTTCCTCTCTGAAGTTTCTTGGCCACATTGTGACTGCTACAGGAATCAAGACAGATCCAGAAAAAAATAGAGCAGTTCAAGAATTTCCTGTGCCAAAAAACATAAAGGAACGAAGATGAATGAAAGTCTCATGGGATTGGAATTACATTGTGGTGAGCAGGACGAGGCCGAGGGCCGCGAGAGAACGGCGCGAGGCCGGTGGCATGATTGATAATGAGCGACACCTGAGCGACGTCTCGAAAAGATGGTATTCCATGAGGCAACAAATGTATGGCAGGATTTACTCCTATCACGAAATGGTTACATATGATAATTATACTATAAGAAAAATAATAGTCACATTTTTCATAATTGTGTAATTTTTTTTTGCTTTTCATCATTTGTTAATTTTTTTTTAGTGAAATTCAATTTAATTCGCATTTGTTTGTATTATTTTTTACATACATATCTTTTCAAAACAGCTTCACAAGAAATGCTTGTTTCTATGTTACTATTAAGAGTAATCTGTTATCAGAGGTGACTGTGTCCAAGTAATGTACACATGTCGAAAATGTACAGTTTAAAGGCAATACAGATCATGCAGTTAGCCAACTTTATGTATTAATTTAAGCAAAAACAATGAGCATGTTAGAGCAATGATTAAGTTTTGTGATCATAATGATTATAATATATAAACTTTGGCATTAGTGCATGTTGGCGTCATCTGAAGTCCTGGCAGGGGTCAGCGTCATGTCTTCACAGGTGTTGGGTCATCTGAAGTCCTGGCAGGGGTCAGCGTCATGTCTTCACAGGTGTTGGGTCATCTGAAGTCCTCCAGGGGTCAGCGTCATGTCTTCACAGGTGTTGGGTCATCTGAAGTCCTGGCAGGGGTCAGCGTCATGTCTTCACAGGTGTTGGGTCATCTGAAGTCCTCCAGGGGTCAGCGTCATGTCTTCACAGGTGTTGGGTCATCTGAAGTCCTGGCAGGGGTCAGCGTCATGTCTTCACAGGTGTTGGGTCATCTGAAGTCCTGGCAGGGGTCAGCGTCATGTCTTCACAGGTGTTGGGTCATCTGAAGTCCTCCAGGGGTCAGCGTCATGTCTTCACAGGTGTTGGGTCATCTGAAGTCCTGGCAGGGGTCAGCGTCATGTATTCACAGGTGTTGGGTCATCTGAAGTCCTGGCAGGGGTCAGCGTCATGTCTTCACAGGTGTTGGGTCATCTGAAGTCCTGGCAGGGGTCAGCGTCATGTATTCACAGGTGTTGGGTCATCTGAAGTCCTGGCAGGGGTCAGCGTCATGTCTTCACAGGTGTTGGGTCATCTGAAGTCCTCCAGGGGTCAGCGTCATGTCTTCACAGGTGTTGGGTCATCTGAAGTCCTGGCAGGGGTCAGCGTCATGTCTTCACAGGTGTTGGGTCATCTGAAGTCCTGGCAGGGGTCAGCGTCATGTCTTCACAGGTGTTGGGTCATCTGAAGTCCTGGCAGGGGTCAGCGTCATGTATTCACAGGTGTTGGGTCATCTGAAGTCCTCCAGGGGTCAGCGTCATGTCTTCCAAAACTGGAGCTGGCGTAATCTTAAGAAACAGAAAGTAAATGGAGAATAATTAATTTAATCTAGATCTCTTTAATATTGATTGTGAGAGTGAGTCTGAGCCCCAAACATTAACAGGAAGGCTTTTTCAGAGTTTAGAGCCAAATGTGGACACGCTCTCCCTCCTTTAGTGGATTTAGATATCCTAGGTACTACCAGAAGCTCAGAGTTGTGTGACCTTAAAGAACGTGATGGATTTTAAGGCGATAGAAAATCACAGGAGCTATCAAATTAAATACACAGGAGTTAAACCGTTTAGGGATAGGTCAGTAGTTATACTTTGTAATTGATACAGGACTTAATAGGTAACAAGTGTAGGGATTATATAATTTGTTATATGATCATATTTTCTTGGCAAGAACTGGTCAGAACTTTAGCAGCTGCATTTAGGCTTCAAATATGCGAGCTTAAGCTAAATATAATGTCTTATTTCTTTCTTTTGATTTTGACAAGGATGTATTCTGACAGGTTTCATTAGATTCACTCGTAGAGATTTAGATATCAACAATCTGTGCTTGTGAGGGAAATAGAGACAAATGAGGATCGTTGAACAGATGGAAAGGAAATGGCTCATGTCACAGAATCTGTAACTCTCTCTCTCTCTCTCTCACTCGCACACCTTTTTAAATATTTGATATCGATGTTAAATATCGTGCTTTTCATCTCAGATGCAATCTAAATTCTCAATATATCTCAGTTCATCTCTAAGCAATACATCACACACATTACACAAAAACAGCGTTTTCACACCTGTCCGTGTCGCACCATAATAATCGCCACTGAGATCGATCATGGATTAGATGAGGTCTCCATCTGAGTACCCCTCTTCTTCTCATGTCACAGTAAATGTTGCCTCGCTCTCCTCGAAAAGTTGAACAGTCCGCCTGGCTGCTGCCAAGGGTTTCTGTTTCAGTTTTCTCTTTAAATCGCCCAGCAACCTTAACCCAGCAATACAAGACATCCAGATCTCGACTGTCCCTTGTTGGTAGAAGTCGACACATTGACTCGGGAGTAGGAGCGGTCGCAATGCTTACTAACTTACTTTTACAGATACACATTTTATAAAAATGAAACAAAGGTGTCGTCATTTTGTCTATCGCAACACAAATTACTTCATAAAAACAACCTAATTTCCCTGTATAGTGGGATCTCACAATCTATACCCATTTACATTTATTCATTTAGCTGACGCTTTTATCCAAAGCGACTTACAATTATATGTTAGAGGTCGCACGCCTCTGGAGCAACTAGGGGTTAAGTGTCTTGCTCAGGGACACATTGGTGTCTCACAGTGGATTCGACCCCAGGTCTCTCACACCAAAGGCATGTGTCTTATCCACTGCGCCATCACCACCCAGAAGCTTTTGTGCTTGAAAAATATCTCAGCAAAATACCCGATGGAGATTGGGATATTGCTTAATATCCGAGCACCAATGCTTGCCCAAACATACCAAGTCATTTTTTTCTAGCATAAGCACATATGAATATTCCTCCATTGTGGGAGCTTGTAAATCTGGTCATTTTTTGTGGTTATAAGTTAATGTTTTACATGAAAACATTGACAGGATACATGGGTTTTCCTGTCAAATTTGGGATATAGAGACCTACTTTATATTTGATGTCTTTACTATGTACTTACATAAAAATTGCCTTGGACCTATTTCAAATAGACTGCTTATTGCATAAATACGTGTTGTTACATTGTACTTGCATCTAATGGCGCTTTTCCACTGCATGGAACGGTACGGTTCGGTTCGGTTCGGTACGGCACGCTTTGGCGCTTTTCCACTGCATGGTACAGTACGGCTCGGTTCGGTACGGCTCACTTATGGCGCATTTCCACTGCATGGTACGGTACGGCTCGCTTCGGCTCGCTTTAAATGGTACCTGCTCTGTTGAGGTTCCAAGCGTACCGTACCGATACTAAATGTGACGTGAAAACACTACAGATCACTAATTGGTCAGACAGACAGAATCGTCACTATCAGCGTCATTGTATTTGCGACACGAGACACTAAACCCACTCGATTTAAATAGCCAGTAGACAACAGCCACCGCTGTAGCACCTGTTTTAAAACTACTTGCTTGAAGAAAAAAAAAAGAAAGAAAACTTCCATAAAAAAAGAAATGGCTGAATCGTGGTCAGTGGACGAAGTGCAGACGTTCGTCTCGTTGGTTGCCGAGGAGCGGATAAACTAACGGTCCGACTATAATCCCACCCACTTTGAAGCGGTACTGCAGTGGAAAAGCAAACCGAGCTAAAGCGAGCCGCGCCGTGCCGTGCTGAGCCGAGTCGTACCAGCAGTGGAAAAGCGAAGCGAGCCGAACCGTGCCGCGCCGAGCCGAACCGTACTGAGCCGTACCGAGCCGTACCAGCAGTGGAAAAGCGCCATTACATTTGAAGTACCTGCCTATATTTTCATATGTAGTTATATTATTGATGGTACCTCAACCCTAAACTTACCCAACTGCAATACCCAGCAGCAAATCGAAATCTGGCAAGAGTTTAAAACAACATGCAGGTTTTAATAATAACATTTATGTACATAATAGTTAAACAGACCTATATAAAGTGATGTGGGACCATAAATTCTACAATAAACTTAAAGTAATAGTTTAATTAAGCAAATCATTATAATAATAATTTTTCGAAATGTTTTTTTTTCTCGAAATGTTCTTAATTTATTCAATCACCCCCACAGTATAGACAAGAGAATGCAAAATAATATTCTATACACATTGTCATCGCTTTTGTTTAGCATTTCTACAAAACGAATATTAACCCTTGATCACCAGAGGCATCTTATCCAAAACGGTATTGTGAAGATGTTTAATGGCCAAAATGAAGACCTACACATTAATCAAGTCCCCTTTGTTTTACACAAAGCTTTCAAGTGGTTTATGCAATAGTCAATTGAACAATTACAGTATATGCACAATATGTGTGTAGTCTGTACTGTGACAAAACATGTTCCTAATTGTTTATATGAATTATAACCATTTGCCTCTGTCTGTTTCTGTTTGCGTGAACACAGGTTCATCAATACTACAGCTTTTTCCCAGAAGATAAGGTCCCTTATGTGAACAGTATTGGTGAAAAGCATCGAATCAAACAACTCCTTCAGCAACTGCCACCGCATGACAATGAGGTTTGTTAGTACAGTCATAACTCAAAAAATTTTAACACAAAAATGCATAACAATAGCATATACTAATCGCACATACTTTTATTCTTTAATTTCATCTTGAGGTCAGCTTGTCTGTACTCATCTTAACATGAGACTTCAAGTCATAAAGATTTTTAGATAAAGATCATTCGATTTTTTCTTTGAGAAATAGAATTTAAATATAATTATTTAAAGAAGATTACATTCTTTAGCAATATTCGCACTGGATTAGTATTATCTGATTACCTCGTGTGATTTAGAAATTACCCCCCAACATCTGAATTTCGTGTGACGTATTCACACGGGATAAGCGAAGCCTGTGATTTTACTCGAATTTACTGACTTATCTCCTGGATATAGGGCCCTATTTTAACGATCTGAAACGCAAGTATCAAGCGTGAAGTGCAAGTAACTTTGTGGGCGGGTCTTGGGCGCTGTTGCTATTTTACCGGCGGGATAAATGACTCTTGCGCCCGACGCAAGTTTAAAAGGGGTTGGTCTGAAATAGCTTCATTATTCATAGGTGTGGTTTGGGCGTAACGTGAAATAAACCAATCAGAGCATCATCTCACATTCCCTTTAAGAGCAGGTGCGCATGTTGCATGGCGGATTGCTATTATAACGGCGGATTTACCAGGCGCGCGCCAGGAGCGGTTCACAGCCGAGGAGACCGACGTTCTTGTCAGGACCGTGAAAGACAGAGAAGTGACGTTGTATGGGGATGGAGAAACCCACCCAAATCAGCGTCGGTTAAACAGGCGTGGGAGGAAAAAAACTATTTTTTTACATCTTCATGGACACCACAATGATTTCCCTCATGTGTTAATATTTTTCCTTGTTATAATGTATGATTTGCAAAAATAAAAACTGCTGCATCTGTGTTGATGAGAGAATCAAAGTGTATGCGCGTTGTGCATCCGCTACATTATGGCCAAGCATGCGCCCTTAAAATAGCATTATGAACAACGCGCAACGCGCCACTGACTTTAGACTAGGCTTTTTCTGGTCAGTGGCGGAATTGTTTTCTGGAACTGCAAAATAGCACTAGGGAATGTTTGCGCCGAAACACGCCTCCTCTTTGCGCTGACCCGCCCAGGGAGCGCAAGTTCATTTCCTAGTTTACCGACGTTCGTCTGTGGAGAGAAAAGCCCGCTTTCCGCGGGTGCAAAATATGAATGATACATGCGTCAGTGTACAAAGTAATTTGTGCCGGGTGCAAGATAGGGCCCATAGTGTCTGTTAAGTAGTTAAACTAGGATTGTGTTCTAAGGTGGTTCTAATGTCTCTAGCCTTCCTCTTGGTGTGTCGATCAAAACACAGGAATGGATCAGGACAGTCTGATTCAATCAAAGGGGTTTATTTTACACTGACAATGCGTTGGTCTGTGTGAGGTATGTGTGTGGTTCTACAATAAAACATAAATAAAGAAATAATCAGCATAACATGACTTGACTGTTATACCAAATGAATCACAGTATACATCACATTGCATTACACTATATAATGTTATAATATACATAACCAAACTGGACCAATACGATGCAATTTGGCGCCGTCATTGTTTAAATAAACATAACCGGCACGTTGAAACCGAAAGTGTCCATATGAATATCACACAGCGCACTACAGTACTCCCATACGAACCTAACAAAGAATTAAGTATAATACCACAGTAACATAAATAAACAGATATGGAAAAGGCTAAAGATATCCTCAAACGATATTATATTGTGAACACAGGTCGTGAATGCACCGAACACGCGAGCTTAGTTCTCACACTCTTCATTCTGACTAACAGCGGACAAATACCATAGTGCATTTGAAAATAAATACTATTATATTAACAAGGATTGTCTACTGATCAAAACGGGTACTCACAATCAGTCCCGTGCAAGTCTCTCTCACTCGCGCTTCATTCGGCTGCGTCAGGGCGATGATTGACAGGTGCACTAAGCCCCGCCTTTCCAACATTGCCGCCCCCAAATTTATTAAGAAATTTGCTCTGTTGGAAATGAGTTCAGGGTTACTGTTGGTCGTCTTCACTCCCAGGATGGTCATCCTCTTCAGGGATTTCAGGAAGAACTATTAGACGAGCTATAGGCCGAGTATATGTTCTGTCTTTTATCTGTATCTCCGCTGTTCTGACACGGCCATCGGCTCCTAGGTAGACTATCAGAATTCTTCCAATCTGCCATAGGGACCGAGGTAGTTGGGGGTCAACCAACATGGCTACAGTGCCAGGCTCGATGTTAGGTGATGGTCTTTGCCACTTTCCTCTCGTCTGCATTGCCGGTAGATAGTGCCTTATAAATGCAGACCAGAATCTGTCAGCTAATACCTGGGAGTGTCTCCATCTCCGCTTTGTGAGGAGTTCAGACTCCGGATACACCACCTGGGGTAAGGAACCATCTGGCCGCCCCATCAGCAGGCAATTTGGAGTAACTGGGTCCAGATCAGCCAGATCTGCCGAAACATAACCTAAAGGCTTAGAATTTAGGATGGCTTCAATCTCAATCAAAACTGTCTGAAGCACTTCTTCGGACACCGTTTCTGAACCTAGGGTTGCACGAAGGGCAGCCTTTACAGACCGGATCTCCCTCTCCCACACACCTCCAAAGTGCGGAGAGGCCGGAGGATTGAAGTGGAAATTGATCCTTTGTTTGGGTAACAGCTGTTGTAAGTCTGGACTGAGTTGGTTGAAAGATTCCCGGAGTTCTGTCTCTCCACCTCGGAAGTTGGTGCCCTGGTCGGAGTACAGTTCGGCAGGCTGGCCACGTCGACCAATGAACCTTCTCAGTGCCATCAGAAAGGCATCACTGTTCATTGAGGCCAGCACTTCTATGTGCACTGCACGGGTAGTGAGACACTTGAATAGGAGGCCCCATCTCTTCTCTACCCGGCGTCCCAATGTCACCACCAGTGGCCCAAAACAGTCCATTCCTGCTGAGTAAAATGCCGGCTTAAACAATCTGAGCCTTGGAGGAGGGAGATCAGCCATCTGCTGTGTTGCTGGCTTTGACCTCCACTTACAACAGTCGAGACATGCCCTTTGGTGCTTCCTGATTGCCTCCCTACCTCTCAGAATCCACACTCTCCTGCGGAGCTCAGCAAACACCCGCTCAGGTCCTGGATGGTGAAGTCGAGTGTCATAGTCCTTGATCAGTAGCTGAGTGTTAGGATGATGAGAGTCAAGTACAATAGGGTGCACGGTAGCTGGGTCAAGGGCTTCCACTCTCCTCAGTCGTCCTCCGACTCTGATGAGTTGGTTTTCAGAGTCAAATACAGGAGAGAGACATAATAACCGACTGTTGGAGCGAACTGACTTGTTGGATTTTAGCAGCGGGAAATCCTCAGGGAAACTATCTAGCTGTATCTTTCTCAGGGCAACAGTCTCTGCCTCTCTGTAGGTACCTGCTGGAGGAGATTTATCCTGGGCAGCCGCCCCATGCAGCTCCTGTGCAACTGCGTCCACCAAATCTTTCCAGTGGTTGTATCTCCTTTCATTAGTCAACGGCATAGTGTTAGTGATACCACAGAAGATTCCTCCTTTAAGTTCAGCTGCATCTTCAGAGTTCGGAAAGTATGAGGTGGGCTGAGAGGGCCACTCCTCCTGTGGTTGCAGTAGGAACTTCGGACCTTGAAGCCATCTGTTGGGGCCGATAAAGTCTTGCAGTCCCTTGCCCCGAGTCAGGTCATCAGCAGGGTTTCCTTCAGAATTTATGTATCGCCATTCTGTCCGGTCGGTCAACTCCTGAATCTCTGCTACCCGGGTGCCCACAAAGACTTTGTACCTACAGGACTCAGAAAGGAGCCAGTGGAGGACAATAGTAGAGTCAGTCCAATAGGTGACCTTGTCCCATTTCAGAGTGAGCTCAGTTGTGAGCAACTTCGCCAACTGTGCACCTACCAAGGCGGCGCAGAGCTCAAGCCTCGGTATTGACTGTCGCTTTCGTGGGGCCACTTTAGACCGGGCTAGAAGAAAGGCAAGGTGGAGTTCCCCCCGGCGACCTTCCGAACGCAGATAAGCAACAGCCCCATATGCCTTCTCAGAGGCATCACTGAAAACGTGAATCTCCCGGCGTACATCTGATTGATCCATATAGGAGGGGTTATAGCACCTTGGAACTGTCACCTGCGATAGGAATTTAAGCTCCTCTTCCCAGTCTGTCCATGCTTGCCTGAGCTCACCAGGGAGTTGTGGATCATCCCAGTCCCGGTGGTTTAGCCAAAGCTGCTGCACGATCACCTTGGCTCTGGTAGTATAGGGAAGGATGATACCAAGGGGGTCGTACTGACTTGCCAGCACCCTATAGATGCTCCGCATTGTCAAGGCATTGTATGTGACAGGTCGGTGTTTGAACCCAAGATGGTCCAGCTCGCAGTGCCAGCTCAGGCCCAACGTTGACTCTCGTGGGTCGGCTTTGTCTTGAGAAAGCCACAACTCCAGCTTAGGGGACCTGGCTTCAGGAGGTAGATGACTGACAACTTCTGCTGCATTAATGGCCCACTGCCGGATGTCAAAACCACCAGAGGATAGGAGCGTACGTAACTTATCCACTAACAGTCGTGCTTCTTGAACAGAACTCAAACTTTGGAGACAATTGTCCACGTAGAAGCATCTGTCTACAGAGAATCTTACATCCTCATCGGGTGTACTGTGTAGCGCCACGTGTCGCTGAAGAGCGAAGGACGCACAGCAGGGGCTGCACGTAGTCCCAAAGGGAAGTACTTGCCACTCATAAGTATCTGGAGGGTCATCCCGACACAGGTCACGCCATAAAAACCGCAGGAGTGGTCTATCCTCAGGCAGTAGCAGGACCTGATGAAACATCCCGCGTATATCCCCACTTATGGCCACACTATACTCCCTAAACCGCAGGAGGACACCCAGAAGAGAAGGGCTCAAGACTGGACCCGGTAGTAAGGAGTTAAGATTTAGCCCATTATACTCGAAAGAACAGTTAAACACTAAGCGGTTCTTA